GCAAAGTGAAACAAGTTTGAAGAAAGAAAAATCTTGTATGATCATTTGTATGTGGAATTGAAAAAAATATAACAGACTCCTTGATAGAGATTAGTGGTTTCCAGAGGCATGGAGTGTGTGTGTGCATGAAGGAAATGGGTAAAGGTAGTCAAAAGGTAGAAACTTCCAGTTATAAGATAAATAAGTCCTGGGGATATAATGCCAGCATGGTAACTACAGTTAGTTGTGCATATCTAGAAGTGCTAAGAAAGTAAATTTAAAAGTTCTCATCACACACAAACAATTGTAACTATGTGAGGTAATGAATGTGTTGACTAAACTTTTTGTGGTAATCATTTAGCGACATATACATATATCAAATTATTATGGTGTATATCTTAAGTATATGTAAATTATATAGTATATGTCAATTATATCTTAATAAATGGAAAAATTAATTTAAAAAATGGTAATATATGTAACAATAAGACATTGTATGTGGAAGCAATAAATATCATAACTATTTTCACTATTTTGTGATGAAGATTTGTTCAATTTAAAATCAGGAAGAATTCAAAGAGTTTTATTTTTATTTTGAACTTTCTAATGAAGTACATTTCCATTTTCTGTACTTAAGTATTTGTATTCCGGAAGTCTTTTTTGAAGTACATGGCATGCATCAACTCCAAAGTTGGGAATACTTGGGAAAACTTGGAAACACTTGGGAAGCAAAGAAGTTGATCTAATTGTTCGTTTATTTGTTTGTTTGTTTGCAGACAAAAAGGGACAGAAAGTTGCAGAGAGAGAAGGAGAGAGAGAAATCCCAAGTAAGCTCTGCGCTCTCGGTGTGGAACTGATATGGGGCTTGAACTCATGAACCATGAGATCATGACCTGAGCCAAAAACAAGAGTGGGATGCCTAACCAACTGAGCCCCAAAGTGTCCCAAGTTAAACTAACTCTTAATGCTTTGTGCTGGAAGGCCACTAAAAATTACTAATTTTACTACCCAAAGGAAAAAAGGACAAAATTGCCTTTTCTCCACTATATTTCTGGCTAAGGAATTCCAATCTGGACTTGAATTAATCATTCCTATCATTTAAGGCTGGCAATAATATTTAGTTAAGTATTAAGAAGTTTTTACATTGAGATTTTATTTTCCAGTTGTTTCCACTTTGGTCATACAGAATCCAACATGGGGTAAAAGAATAAGCCTCATTCCAACTCTATCTAATCAAATTTCCAAAATAGAAGACACTTTTCTTGGGTCTTCTTATCCTTAAGGCCACTAATCTCTTTAATAATTTCACAATTATTTTTAATCTTGTTTTTTTACTTTGCCCCTTTACCATTCACCTCAACTACAGTTCCACCACATATTTTTTTAAATACGGTTTCTAGAACTGGGTCCAAAAGTCTAAAATTGAGTTCCTTAGCACTGTGACAAGTGTAATTTTTCCTTCAGTTGAATTAGTTCCTAAAATTCTATTAATACAGACTAAGACTATGTTGGCCCTTGAAAGAGCTTCATTAAAATACTGGAACATTAAATATACAGTTAACATAAATCCCAAATTATCTTTGACATTTACTACAATTTAGTGTATTTCTCCAATTATCTTCTTGAGTAGTTAGTTTTTGACAGTTCTATCTGGAATCCCTGAATACTGAAGAGTCCTTCTTGGGGTTAATGACTTTATTTTTCCTGGAGTAAACACAGGCATGCTCAGAGAAAGCTAGATTTATTTCATAATGGTATTAAGTACAATAGAATGATTGTATGTTAAGTGACCTCATGGTTTTTTTTAAAAGTAAAATCATGTTACATGTATTTTCTATATCTTCTTCACGTAGAGATTTATGTAATATAATATTTTAAAATAATTTTTAAAGTATATTTTAAAGACTCTGAGCTGCTATCTGAGATTGTCCTTTCTCCACTATATTTCTAGCTAATGGCTTCCAACCTATTTTTGATTAAATAAATGCCAGAGTAAAACCAGATCAAATCAAAGCAAACCAAACGATGCAGTGTAGCAGATACTCGAATTAAGAAAGGCTTCATGAGGATTAACTGTTCTCTGTTATATTTTTTATTGAAGGTTTTAATGGGAGGATTGTACAAGAAGAGATAAAATGAAAAAAATCTACAAATAATGCTATTAAAAGAACTCCATTTCTGGTTTTTGAAAACAAAGATGTTTTCTATATTGATGAAGCTAAAATCAATCCAGAAAATGTAATTACATGACTTAAAAGTCTTTCAATTAAGTTGTGTTCTAAATCTGTGAAATTTGAGTAGAGTTTTTTTTTATTCTAATGGGAATATTGATGTCTAGACTTTTAAGACTTACAGTGGTCAGTTAATATTTTTATAATTAGTCTTTTTGAAACCAAAAGAAAAACAAAGGCATTTGTTGTGATCTCTTTAATGTCCTAATAATTTATGTGAACTAATTTTATCGACATAGTTATAAAAATTGCATATTGTTCTTAAAATAGTAATAGGTTACACAAAATTATTCTATACGAATCTAGGAGATAGCACTTACTGGAGCAGCAGTACTGGAACTGGCCCTTTAGGGTTCATATTGTATAACCACACCTGACCATGGTGTTCCCTACGTGGTAACTGGGGGCCCCTAGATCAGGGATGTGTGACCTACAATGTTTTAAAGATGGCGTGAACTCCGGGCTCTTGAAAACAGTAAAATGAATGAGGAAAGAATATTCAAAAACCATGAGCAAAATATACTAGTAAAATATACCTATAACAAGACACCTATAAACACAGCTATATCACATACGCAATATTGCTAACCCTTTATGCCTTCTTTTTGCAGAACAGAGGCATGGAGTGAGTGTCTTACTCTTGGCATAGCTGCTTTCTTTCAGGGGAGCCACTCTACTCCTCTGTTGTTCCCCTGCCTTTGAGAATCAGACTATGGAGTAGGAGGTAGTTGGTTCAGGCCACTACCAGCCTTGTGTACGTGGGCACATAATATAAATCCCATAACCACCTGTATTCCCCCCACACCCCCCAGAAAACAAATGTGTATTCATGCCTGTCTTAAAGGGTTTGTGGCTACGTTCATAAAATGCCTCCACTGGATGTGAATTTTAGGACTCAAGGACTATGTTTTAATCAACATTTCACACAGGACAATGTCTGGCACATGTTGGCACAGAATAAGTGGTATTCTTACGTGATGCTGCACATTGTATGAATGGTGGCACACTGAGGTATGCTGTTTTTCATGGGGTTCAGATATGGCTTTTGAAGGAAACAGTGATGAGTCATCATACTGGCATGTGGCTACAGGACTGACCCATTTACATAAAAAAGCTGGGGACAAAGGCTATCCCTCAGATGGTTCAAAACTTAAGTTTCAGAGGTCAATAGGGAATAATCCCTTTGAAGAGGAGGGTCAACACAATCAGATCATCCCAGATGTACTAGTTGATGATTACCAAGGAAGTCCATGTTATAATTCACCTATTGCCTAAATCTAAGAGGCAGATTCCAAGTTCTAAAATAATAGCCTAAATAAGAATGGGAAGTGTAGGGGAAACGAAGAGGTTAGAAATAGAAGACTGATACTAAGAGATCCCACAGATAAGCTTCCTCAACATTTGCAACTGCTGTCGTCGGCACCTACAAGTTGAATAAGGGAGATGAATTATATACATTCAGGGTGGTTTCTCCCTCTGGGGGCTCCTTAGGATGATTTTCTAATTGGAAGCCCAGTAAAGGGTGCAGCAGGGGACCTGAGGAAATCATTCATATGTGCTCCTTGCTAAGAGGAGAGACAGAGGACTGGAGCACGACTCATACTAGCTAGAGCGAAAACAACTATGTACAAGTCTGTCTGCAACAGGGCCATACAGAGGGTGAGGAAGTAGCTGAGTAACTCGCAGGCGATGGCGCAAGGGAGTGTGCTGAAGTGGGATCAATTTACACGCTCTGTGGGCTTGAGTTCTTGCCGTGGAATGGATGTAGACAATTCAGGAAGTCATGGAATAAATCATGAGAAATGCTCTTGAGTTCCCGGGAGAATGCTGGCCACGAAAGCTGAACAGGGCCAGCACTGGGCTGCCAGATGTCCAGCGGCGTAAGGTGGATAAACACAGAAACAATGTATCAACTGGTTTCTAGAGATTGCTTAAAACAAACAAATAAGCGAGCAAAATGCCTACTTCATATTCTTGCCATACTTAGGCACGTGACCTCATAATCCTTTTTCACCAGGAGCACAAAACTCAAGCTGAATATTGAGCAGAGAAACCAGTTAATTCTCAATTCTAATCTTCTAGAAACTCAGAGAGAGAAAAATTCAATGTAGAATTTAACGATAGCATTGGATCTGAAATGGAAATACCTACATATATAAAGAAATCTTTGGAGAGAAGATCTATTTTGGTCTGATCCTGAAGGTAGATGAGAGGAATATTTTAAAATATTCTCATCAATCTTGATTTATCTCATGCTTTGATCCTGATATTTATTCTAATACTTATGAAATATTATTCTCTAATGCCTCGCCTGCCTGTGTTTATAGAAATATATAGAAGACAAAGACATAATATTAGAATATAAAGAAATATATGAGATTAGACATGTTTTCTTGTGAATGCTCATAACCAGTGTTGAATTCTTTATGCAGAATTTTCTGGTATTAATCAAGGACATTCATTATTTGTCACTCTGGGTCACACAGTTTATGCAACACTGCTTTGTTGTAGTCTTTTTTCCTTCAAGGATATAAAAGTATCAGGTTCCTCAAATGCCTAGAGAGATGTCACAGTGGAAAAATGCACAGCTTTATAAATTAAACTTGACATGACTGAATTCTGGTCATCTTACACAAAAGTGGTGATCTTTCCTTAACGAAATCACCATGATCTGTGGAAGGGTGATGGGGTTACCTCGTGCTTCCCTCACTCGTTCAGGCCTCCTTCACTTTCCAAAGGCTCAGCAAGGCTCAGCTTACGAACCGGAGATAACGTGTGACTTGTGCTTACCACAGGTCTGTGGACGTCCCAGAATGCTCTCTCTTGGCTATCGAGGATCTTCCTTTCGATCTTGTCTCTCTTCTTGTCCACTCTGTCAACAAGGTAACAATGGATAAGAAGTGCCATTAATTGCAGCACCTCTCCGGACAAAAGGCCACAACCTGAACAAATCTTCCGAAAGACTCACAAGGACTCACTTTGCTTGTGCTTCTGCTTGCATAAAAATGAACTCCCACTTCCGGGCAAATGCTCTCTGCAGCCTGGCCAGGCTCTCCTGAAAAAACACACCGCAGGTGAGGATGTTCTGGTGCTCATCGTCACTACCCCCTGCTCACTTATCTACCTTATGGACTTAGCAAGAAAATCAATATAGAGCCTCTAAAGTAGTTAAGTGTACTCAAGTTCTGAAGGATGAGTCATGCTCACTGAATATAGCTCATCCTCATATTAACAGAGAAAACAGGGAAACATCACAAATATTAACATATCACAAATATTTATGAATAGCCGACTGGAGAGAATACAAGTAAACATCTAAAATACTAAAATTACTTTGGATGAAAAAAGTGCTCAATACTAATGCATTAGAGTTTCCTGTGCCCTTTTTTGTGAGGAACAGAAAAACGATACATTTTTACTATTGATTCAGTCAATCTATCCAGTTCTTGACAAGAATGTAGACTCTCGGCGCCTACTGCCATTTCTAGTCAGTGCTTCAAAGTCAGTAATCACAACATAGCAATCATCTGAACAAAAGATTAATTTTATCTGCTGTTGGTGACCGACCCGAAGGTTCTGCAAAAATCATTTACCGAAAGCGAATGCTCTTTATTTCTCTAACTTTGGATGTCTTCACTATATGCACGACGAATCTAATGTTTTCACACTTGAGTTTAGCAAGTAAGACATACTTCTCTCTTCTCCTGTGAGTTTGTGTGTGTAGAAGTTTACCATCCCTGTTACACATGAGTTTAGCCTCACTCCTTCCACCTTGACCCAGAGTTGACCTCCTGGGTCTACACTGAGGGCCACGTGACTCTCTTCAGGTGCAAGGGAACAAAGAAGACCAGGGCTAATGTCCTTGCTAATGGTTGCTTCTGACACAGTTTGCCTACTTTGTCCTTGAGATAACGGCTGTTCCCCTGAAACTCCCCTGCAACCCCCTTGAAAATAACAAATGTCCTACACACTCGGGATCAGGGCCGCTTCCTTTATCACTTTGTTGTCTTTTTACAATAACTGCTCAATTCTGCTTCTGTACTGCCCGCTTGCCTGCTTGCTGATTAGAAAAAGCCCTGAGCCCTTGGGTTCGGGGCCGCACATCTAGAGAGTTCTGTGTTAACTCTGTGCGGTCCTGGCCGGTAATAAAGACTCCCTGAATTTGGCTTCAGTGGCTTCAGTTGGTCTCTGTGTCTCTCAGCATCACACCCCCAGTGTGAATAATGTGAGGAAGCAAGCAAGTCAGGGATGTGAGCCATTGTGATGCCCGGTTCCTGGGAATCCAGTCTTTAAAATCCAGGCACGTAGAAAGTCAACAGAATTCCCAGAAATGTCCGTGGCCTTATTCCTGTTCATTTTATGACTTCCTTTGCCAGAAAGTCCTTAGTACTTACAGCTTCATAGTCGGCTAGTTCCAGCCTTGCCTTGTTTTGCATTGTTCTCTTGCAGAGATAAACCGCTGAAAGGGGAAAAAAAAATCAATCACTTCATGCCTGCTTGTTAACATGAAGGCACTCACTGAAAATAAAAACAGTGTTATAAGTCAAGATATCTGGGTCTTTGCCGCTTCTTTCCAGTCATAATTTTCTATTTTTGTATTTTTTGACAAAAATAAAGAATAGTAATGTTTTTACTGAAATTCAAACATAATAGTATTTATAAGAAAAAGATGTTCATGGGGAGGGGCTCAATTGGTTAAGTGTCCGACTTCAGCTCAGGTCATGGTCTCATGGTTCTTGGGTTCAAGTCCTGTATCAGGCTCTGTGCTGACAGCTCACAGCCTGGAGCTGCTTCGGATTCTGTGTCTCCCTCTCTCTCTGCCTCTCCCCTGCTCACCCTCCATCCATCTCTCTCTCAAAAATAAAAAATAAACATAAAGTTTTTTTAAAAGCACAACGATATGTTTAGAAAGTTAGTAACTATATATTTTTATTAAATAAGGGGGAGATAAAGCCTTTTAAATAACACATCAAATAAGTTTAAACATCTAGATACATAGATAACACCATTTTGTTAAAAGGAACTGCACAAAGAAGGGATCATTATGGGCACATTTGATTATTTCTGTAAACTTCCGTCAACTGAAAGAATCTCTTATCATAAACTGAAGGCTTCTTGGCATCCCCTTAACTACATTTTATTTTTTTATTATTTAAAAAAAACTTTTTTTAATGTTTTTATTTATTTCTAGGAGAGAGAGAGAGAGAGAGAGATAGAGACAGCGTGAGCGGGGGAGGGTCAGAAAGAGAGGGAGTCACAGACTGAAACAGGCTCCAGGCTCTGAGCTGGCAGTCAGCACAGAGCCCGACACGGGGCTCGAATCCACGAACCGCAAGATCATGACCTAAGCGAAAGTCGGATGCTTAACCCACTAAGCCACCCAGGCGCCCCCCCCTTTACTACATTTTAGAATCATCAACTGTTTTTCCAGTAGGAGACAGGAAATTGTAACATCTTCCCTAACTAGAATACGATGACCTTTTCATTCCATTTTTCTGAGGACGCAGTGTCCTCACTGCCAGGAGAAGCCCTCCTGGGCAGCAGATTTCAGGACGGGTGCCGGAGGGAGGGGGGAGGTCACAGCAGCTCTGCCACTGACAAATCATATTTCTTTTGTTACCTCGGGATTATTAGCAACTCTTACGACAATCAGGACAATCAGGGCCCTCTGGTACAGTCCTGATTTCCAGGACATATTTTTGTCATTTTCCATAATACAAGATATTTGAGTCTCATGAATTTCAAGATAAACTCTATATGGTAGATGCTGAGTAAATCTGATGGATGAGGCCTGTAAATATTCCTTCCTGTAAGGTTAGTTCTGGAGGTGCCTTTATAATTCCCACCATTGCACTAAGCTGTGCCGCCCTCAATTTTTGATAATGAAGTTCAGCTGGTATCACCGAGGAATTCTCTTACACAGAAAATCTGAGGTCTCTGCAAACGCTGATGTATCTTCAATTTCTGCTCTCTAAATTTTCCATTAGGAAGGGCAAGGCAAAGGAGAAAGCCAACCACGGACCGATGTTAACATTACTACAGACACTTAAGAACCCGGGAGATGCTTTGAGAGCCTATCTTTCTACAAGCAACTATGGGAATTTTATTTTTCCACTAGCATTAGAAATTTTCAAAATTACTAACACTCAAAATTAGTAAAAGACAACCTTCAAAAACAAAAATGACATGATGGGAAACATATTCCTACCCTCACTGGGTAAAACTAATAAATAAAAGCAGGAGCAGAGTGATTGTTTTTTGATGCCTGTTCACTAAGAAGTGATGCATCCTTTAACATAGTTGACCTCCTATGCAGATTTCTTTAATTCTCTAGGAAACAGAGTGGAGGCGTGGTCAGGCAGAACCAAGTAATTCTTCCATATGCATTTGTTGAATAGGATCTTTTTAAAAGGAGCTATTTGGAAGTCAAATCTAAAGTGATTCCTACTAGTCTTTTTGGTAAAAAGGAAGAAGGAAAAAGGCTGGGTTAGCAAGTAGGGAACATTCTGGCTGCTGTTAAAAGAGTCTGCAAATACAGCTGTGACTGAAAGGGCCCAAACCTCACGGAATGAGTCTTGATACAGGAAGTATGTTGACAAGTGACCAACAAGATGATCAAGGAGGATTCTTTTATTCTTCATCAGCAGAGGGTGTCGGCATTGAACAGGATGCAGGTGAGAAAGGAGGTCTTAGAGAACCAGGGATTCATTTTCAATAGTTTTACACTTTATTGAAGATTTTTAAAAATGAGAGTAGTCATGTATCATCAAAACTATGGCTAAGGTCGTGTTTTTGTACTAATCCCTAATCATCCCAAAGGCACCAGAAGGGACTTTGGGGTGTTTATATATGTATGGACACAGGCCCAAGTGCAAGTGTGAATCTTCCTTAACAGAACCCTTGAGTATCTGCTGAAGTGCCAACATATTTTATTTTATTTTATTTTATTTTATTTTATTTTATTTTATTTTATTTTATTTTATTTTATTTTTTATTTTTGAGAGAGAGATAGAGACAGCATGATCAGAGAGAGAGGGAGACACAGAATCTGAAACAGGCTCCAGGCTCTGAGCTAGCTGTCAGCACAGAGCCCGAAGCGGGGCTCAAACCCACGAACCATGAGATCATGACCTGAGCTGAAGTTGGACGCTCAACTGACTGAGCCACCCAGGTGCCCCTGAAGAGCCATCATATTGAAACAACTTTAAAAAATCATTTCCAGCGTTCTATTTAAATATATTCCATCACTGATAATTTAATTTAAATTTTTTTAAATTTCAATTTTAATATCACTTTGCAGTAGTTTGAGACCAGAGGAGACAGTTTTGAGGACTTAGGGTGAAACAAACAAGTAACTTAATAGAAAGATATGCCACTGAGTGGAGGAAAATTCGAGAAGGCCTAGCGTATCACTTTGGCTAAAATAGCTACGTAGGAAATACGTACAATCTGGCTTGAATATGCTTTAGGCGTCAAAGTTTCTAGATCACACATCTACTGAACATAGAATGAATGGTGGCATTAGTTTTTTTTCCATTTACTTTCATAAAGCTCTCCAAGGGAGAATAGTCTTTTGAACAAAAACCAAGGTCTATGACGGAAGTGTTCCGAGATGTATCACAGAGGTCTGTGAGAAAATCACAAATATCCCAATATGTAAACATTGAAAGGACATAAATATATAATTCACAAAGACTAGAAATATAATTGCCACATAAATATTTGAAAAATATCCGACTTGCAGCCAAAGTCATACAAATGTTAAAATGTACCGTCGTAACGAAACTTTTTATCTTTTCAAGTTTACCGTGTGAGCAAATCCTTCCCCAGTTCCTGAGTGAAAACTCAAGCAGTATCTACAATCTTAGGCAAGAATGTCTAGCTTGAGTAATAGTCAAAGATTCATGTCTGGTTTAAAGTCCTGAGGTCTGTCCCTCTCCCTCAGGTTCTATGGGGAAGAGAAGCATGCGTGTCTTCGTTGTTTGCTGACCAAAGCTTCTGAGCCTTCTGGAGTTGGAGGATAGGAAAGAAGGGGAGCAAAGGTGGGTGCTGCTGTTCTTCCTCGACTGATATCCGTGTGCTGATCTAGTGTTGCCATTCTCTGGACTGGGCAGAGGTTGGACGCTGATTATGTTTCTCATGTTACTCTGTAGGATGCTTCGGAGAAACCCCATTCTGCCATTGCTAGGCATCACCTACAGCCCTTGTTGGGGCTGATGTCTGCCACAGCCCTTGGACTGGACCTCTGGCCTCTCTCTCCAGTGTGTTTGTCTGTCCAGGCCATTCCCTAGGACAGGACTGTCTCTCACATACAGCTTAGATCACATGCACTCTTTGCCCTGAAAGTATACCACAGAACATAGCCACCTGCCTTTCAATTCCTCCATCCATAACTAGATAGCCTGTCTCTTGCCCTTTGTAATTCCAAGGACTGGAATTCATGATCCGTTGTGTCCCCAGAAGGAGACGACTCCTGTCAAGCATTCTCAGAAATCCCTTGAAATTTGTCACTGGGCTTGAGGGGAGGGGCATCCCCCACTCATTCCTCCCACGTGAAACTGATGGGGCCCATGACCTCTGACCATCTAATAGCTACAAAACCAGTCTTTAAGCCAACATCTTATCCTTTAATGCACTCGATGTGAGCAGACAATTTGTATGTCAGTGTAGCAAAGCACTTTCACACCTGGTCTTGATCCACTTAACACTTGGGCTGGATTTCCGTATTGTAATACCTAGTTACAAAAATCACTTTCCACATTCATCAGAAGAGCAGAGTGTTACAGAGTGATGAGGTCTTTGGGGAAAAGACTTTGACAATGAGAAACAAGCCTTAAAACATTCATGGCCATTGTACTTACTCTTCTGAGAATATAACCCAAGGAAATAGCACGAAAAACAGCAGAGATGTAAGCCTTCACGGTACGGAATATAGGAACACAGTGGGGCAAGGAATTCATGTGCTCGATGAAATGTTATATTGCCACAAAAAATGATAAACCCAGAGGGGAGCCTGGATGGCTTGGTCGGTTGAAGGTCTAACTTTGGCTCAGGTCATGGTCTCACAGTTTATGAGTTCGAGCCCTACATCAGGTTCTCTGCTGTCAGTGCAGAGCTTGCTTCACATCCTCTGTCCCTCTCTCTCCTGCCCCTCCCCTGCTCATGTGCGCTTTCTCTCTCAAAAATAAACATTAAAAATATATTTGTTTTACTTCAAAGTTGAAATCATTTGATTTTTAAAATCCTTATCCCTCATTGTAAGAGTTCAGACAGTACAGTAAAATATAAACATTAAAGAAAAAATCATTATGATCTAACTTCTGTCATTATTTGGCACATATTCTGGATTTTCCCCTTCTATATACATCCACTAACATACACATGAACATCTATATTTATATCAAAGCTTTATCTGCATCTATTTATTTAAAACATGTTAAAACTGTACTACGTATGTTG